ACGCCTGAATGGATGGACCACGAGTCTGCCCATCTCGATGGCATCTCTTCCTCCCACCTCGACTCGTTGAGGTCCACGACATCCATCCGGGTTGCTGCCTCGCTGGGGTCGAACCGGCGGAACAGGAGACTTGCTTCGCCCCCCTTTGGGGCCTCCAAGTGGCGTAGGGTTGGGGGGCTGGCTGAACCAAAAGACAAGTAGACAGTGTAGAACATGTGTTGTTTTTGAGATGAGGTGATGAGGTGACCGGTGGTGAGTACATGTGGTCTAGATGTTGGATCCTATGTCATTTTCGGGCAATGACACTGCGAGGCCATAAACTTTTCAAGTACAGTTGAATAGAATTGACACCTTTATCGCTAGTAGGCAAGTTCCTTGCTTTGACTCATACCCGCGACATGGGGGCTGGAAATCCTTCTGTCGCAGCAGGGCCTGGCACTCCCAAGAACTAGAATGATATGGTGGGACCTTGCCTGCAAGATCGATGAAGAAGACTTCTACATCTACAGCTATGATGTTTTCTTAAGATGTTCATATGATTGTGATATATATATATATACTTTTTCTGCTTCCCTGGTCGTCTCTGCTTCGTGGGCCAAGAGACCAGGTTTCCCCGGATGTATTATTTTTCTGGGCACAGCGATCTCACATGAAATCCATCAATGAATTCTCAACAAGAAGGGCTCAAGGAACAAGAGTAATTAACTCCTGACTCTGCAGCTGCTGGGCAGGGCAGCTGCTTGACGACTGGCCCAAATTGCTTGCCAAAGAGCATACAGGAACGGTAAGCTTTGAAGAGATATGCTGAACTGAAAAAAGACTTAGGCGGCATTCTTAATTTATCTTGGAATTCAGTTCCGTTTTGAGATTTTTGAATATTCCTGGCAAGACGGAAAACATATCCCGCTGCCAACAACTCCTTTCGTTAACTTCCGCCGATGCCATAGAACAGAAGGAACTGTCGATCCTCAAGCTGCAAGCTTGCCAAGCTTGCGTCAAAGGTGTGGCTCAGATCCTGAACTGTAGGATTGCTTGGTACATGGACCTGCCAAAATGTACCCATTCCACACCGCTACGCCGCTCCAGCCCGACCACTCCCACCACAAAGGCCTCAGAACTGGTCGCTGGAGGTCCGTCCTGTTGCCCGCCTACCATCCGCCAGCGGCTGCGAAGGTGGGTGCAATGTATAAATGGTCCCTGTTTTGCTGGATATGATGCGATTCTGTCCGTTTCTGTAGACCTTTTTTGTTGACCTGACAGGACAGCCTTCCGTCTAGCCGGTAGCCTACCCCGTTTCTGTAGCAACAAATTGACCAAGCACGCATCATGTTGTCTGAGTTTTGGCTCAGCTCCATGGGAAATAGAATTCCTGGACCAGGACCCCAGTCAGCCTGAAGAGAGATTCATGAACTGTCTACCTCCACAGCCGGCCCTGCCCATCACCTAGCACCTGCAAACCCATAAATGACCACTCACATGAGGCCTGAACTGCTGGCGCATTTCAAGAGCAAGCGGATGGGCTTCACCTTTGGCACCTTCGCCGCGAAAAAGGCACAACGGCCCGGTATGATGCCGGGCGGTTTGTAATGGTCTGCGCATTTTAGTGATTTAAAGTTACCCGCACCTTTTCGTGTTAGGCAAGTCTGTCCAAGCTGGACATGACATTCTAATGCAGTTCTGGTCTAAAAGTCTGGTGCTGCAAGGCCTTGGCGCTTCTGAACAATAGTTTTTTTTCAGGACCACGGCGCTGATGTGTCAGTTGAATGAACTCCAAATTCCGAGCATTCCAAAATAGATCGGCTGAAATGCCTTCTGGGTGGTGTTGTGGCGACACATCGCTTCAACCTTCAACTCACAGCTGCTATTGGAGAGTATTCTTGAATAGGCGGCGGGGGCCATGGGCCGTGGGTCCGGAAAATGTCATTATTCATCGACTAATTGATGAAGACCCTTATTGATTTCATTCATGGAGTCTCCACGAAGACATACGAAGACCGCGTTGTTCAACCTGTGAAGCAGGTCCCAGTGTCCCAGTGCACGACCCCATCCCTGAGAACACTCAGAGTCAAGTTTCAGCAGCCGTCCCGGCCCAAAGCATCGACGGTGCTGGTCTTTTCAAGAATCACGTGGATTGCAAAGTCGACTCGGGATCTTTGACAGCAATCTTGCATGATATACAGGGGAGGCGATGAACAAAAAAAGCTTTTCGAAATCAATCCAGCGATCCCTTCCCTCTGATCGCAGTGGTTGGATGCACCTCAGCTGCAACCACCGCAGCTGCAGCAGGTGCTGAAGTAGGCCTGATGGAGGGACAAGCACCAACTGGACGCTCTGATGCCGAATGGCCATGACCGTTTGGATATGTTTGGATGGATGTCTTTCCGTGACTTTCTTTCTGGTCCTAAGGGAACTGTAGTTGTGACCTCAAACTCCAGCCTGAAGGATTCATAACATGCACTTTGAAAAATAAGAAAAAGAAGGACCAAAATCTTTGTAATTTTGGGCAATGGTGTGGCGTTGGCCTCAGGGACGTGGATGCCAGCAAACCCACACCATCGAGAATGGGCCATCCCTTAAACCTTACACCACATTGATGATGAAATCAGGGCCACATTCCTACATCCTGCAACTATAGTGATGAATGTTCACACACACACACACTGCAACTGTAACACAATGTGAGGCAATGCGGAAAACAGTGGAAAACCCTCCCGCCTGAGCAACACACACATCGCACTTGTTGTTTGGCATAAGGGATCTGAATAAACACCATAACTCTCACGGGCTTCTCAACACAGAATCCCCTACTAGATACAATTCTCAACGCTGAATCCCTCTTGGCCCTCTCGAACTGTGGACCCTCCGGTCCGCCACACAGTCTGCCACTCCGCCTCTGCTCCTGCTTGATCGCCTCACCCTCGGGTGCCTCCGTCTGATCAGTCTGATCTGCACCTATCAGACTGGGCACACGGATTCGCATGTACATCTGAGTGCGGAGCATGAACCTGTTGGTACAGGATGAACATAAATGAACATCCAATTGTACTGTACAAGTACCCATTTCAGTGTTGGCGTGCAGGGGCTTGAGGTACAGTTGGTCAGTCAGCAAGCCTTCTCCCTTGGGAGAGCTTGTGTTTAAGGATGTTTAAGGTTAAGGGTAGTATGTTGACAGTTGACAAATCAAACAGGCAAACAAACAACAGGCGTGCTGTTGGAACTCGCCCAAGTGGACACTCCCCAACCTGGTTAGAAGGCTCCCAATATATAGACTCAAATATCTACAGTAACCGGGTGCACGAGCGAGCATAGTGAGCGGCATCCCCCAAAGCTAGCCTTTCCACATGTCCCCATTGGCATTGGCCGCGCTGCAATAGAACGACATCCAATGACCCAAACTGATAAGCGAGCTCTCCACTTGTGCAAAGCCTTACCCAATCCCACAGGGAGCCCTCCATATAGACTCATATAGAGTACAAATAACTAAAACTATTCCATTGCATTGCATACCCCTAAATTTAAGACTCCAAGATACTCCAAGTAACAATTGAGACATGCCATGGACTGTTGACACCGCTAGTTGCACCATGTTGCACCGCTAGTCGTGCCTCAGAGGCAGTTGTCACGGAGTTGTCCATTCAAATCACCAATGCTCTCACACCTCCATTCGGAGCACGGCATGGCGTCGATACTGAGCGCCTTTCTGGTCTTTCTTCTTGGCCTTCGCTGCCTTAGCGCTTCGCTCATGTCGAAATCGAAGGACAGTGCCATGAACCCCTCCCCGGAAAACCGACCCATAGCAAGCCCAGCAGTTTCAACTAGCCGAGGCTCTTTCGGCACCTTACCAGGCTTCTTCATGAGAGGCTCTTGAGGATTCCCGGTGCCTGGTGAGCAAGGCGGTTGCCCTGGTCATGGCTCAGGGGAGCTCCAAACAAGTATTGTGGAGAAAACGGTCCCATCCCAACCGATATACTTTTTAATTTGGCAACTAACAGCTTTGGGAATGCTCAACTCCCAAAGCAACTGCAGTTTTTGAAGGCATTTTCTCCGATAAGGACTAGAGACTAGAGAGCTGGGAAAAGTTAATCCTGCCAGCTTCCCGCAGTCGGCAAAGGCAAAAGTTCCAATGTTAGTCACAGAATTCGGAATGTTCACCTCAGCTAATGCCGCGCAGCCTTGGAAGATTCCCCAATGGAGTTTCCTGATCGGTTCTGGAAGCACAATTTCTTGCAAGGAGTGGCAGCCCTTGAAAGCATGCTCTCCTATGAAAGTCACAGAGTTCGGAATCCTCACTTCTCTCAAGCTACTGCCGCCGCTAAAGGCATGCTTTCCAACGGATGCCACAGAGGTAGGGATAGTCAGCTCTGTCAAGAATGCGCAGTTCGTGAAGGCACAGTCTTCAATGTGAGTCACAAATGTGGGAACCATCAATTTACGCAATGTCAACCAAATGCAGTCTTCGAAGGCATTGCACGCAATGCCAGCAAAGCCCAACTTCACCTCTGCCAATGATCTGCAGTTCTTGAAGGCCCCTTGCTCAATCCGAACCGCAGCGTTGGGCATCGTCAACTGCTGTTTATTAATGAACTGCAGTTCTGGAAGGATAAAGCGCCAAGGTTTGTTACAGAGCTCGGAGCTGTCACTTCAGCCATTCAGCCATTTTCACTTCGGCTAGCGGCTAGTGCTATGCAGTTTCGGAAGGCACCGCACCCAATCTCTGTCAGAGCACCAGGGACCGTCAACTCTGTCAATGAGCTACAGTGGTCAAAGGCACCATCTCCAATGCAAATCATTGAATCGGGCAAAGTCAACAACTCGAGCGAACTGCAGTTCATGAAGGCATTCCTTCCAATGTGTGTCACTGTGTTGGGAATATCTACTTTTACCAAGTTTCTGCAATCAGCAAAGGCATCATCCTGGATCCTAGCGACGGAGCTGGGGATCTTCACAAAGACCAGATCCATGAAACGATGTTGTCGCCTTTCAGTTTGAACCGGTTTGATGGCGCTGAAGAGGACCTGCACCTGCCAAGCTCTTGGGAGACAATGAAGAACCCTTGAGCCGCTTAAGAACTGACATGGAGGTTGTGAGAAAGGCAACCACCACACAACAATAACAATAACAACAAACGCAATGTATATATATATATATATTATATGTATAACAAGAACAAACAACACAACAGCAGCAACACAATCAGCACAACATATACGACAAGGACAAGAAAAAGTCAAGCAAAAAACAATATCTAACACCAAAGCCAAGTAATTACTAATCAAACCAAAAAATCACCACATATAGTAGTAGTAAAAGTTGTTGCTGTTGGCTTTGCGGCTAGTATTATATATATAGTACTTCAAGTAGTGCTAGTAGTGATCGCACATCGCGGTAGTGGTAGCAACAAGTAAGAAAAGCCCTGCTGCTGCTGCTACTACTACTACTTCTACTACTACTACTACTACTACTACTAGTACTAGTACTAGTACTACTACTACTACTGCTACTGCTACTGCTACCAGCAAGCAGCCGTTGTTGTCTCTGCCCCTTCTAGAAGCAAAGACTGGAGCACCCTGGTTGTCTTTTGACCCTCCCCCCAAAACACCCATCTACGAACCTTTAACCATATAGCTGACCATGACCCCTAGAGTTGCAAGGCTTGTAACAGTGGCTATTGTGCTGGACACTTGTGTTGGTCTTTGCTGATGAGGACAAACAGCAGCAACTACAAAACCAGCATCAGCAACCACAAAAGCAGCAAGAAGCACCTGCAACAACAAAACAGAAGTGTGAAGAAGCGCCTATTGATTCAAAGGCATAACACTAATGATAACCTGTAAAAGTAAAGAAAGAGATCACAACAACAAAAAACATTTTCTGAAGAGGTCAATTCCTTAAATCCAACCTCTGCACCAGCTTCAAGATTCATGACCTCAAGCAGTTGCTCCTCATCATCATTGGTCAGCCGTGTCTGCCCGAAGACCACCTCCACTTGACACAATTTCCGGCGGAAAACATCAGGCTGCAAATCTTTCAGCAGCTGTTTGAACTGGTGGACGGAGATGTCCTCAAGCATGCTGAAGAAAACAAAATGTTTCATGTTCCTTTGATGACTGCTGGCAGTTTGTTTTTATTTGGAGTACCAAGTGGCTATACTAGTGACAAAAAAGGATGGACAACACGGTAAGTTAAACTGGTCTTGACCGGCAACCAACTACACAGTGGAGTTTGCCTCACGTTGGTCTGGGAGGAAAGATCAACTGACTATTCTGGCTAAGAAGCTTTGGATCCGGCAGCACTTCAACTTCATCCACCCTTCCATTGAGCTGCCCCACAAGGATTTTCTTTGTGGCTACGAAGGCGCCCTCCTTGAGCTTTCTCATCACATCTGGAAGTGCAGTTTCTTGCAGGGAGTGGCAGCCTTTGAAGGCACAAGCTCCGATTAAAGCCGAAGTGGGAAGTATCACTTCTCTCAATTCACCACAATCCCGAAACGCACTTTGTCCTATCAAAGACACAGAACTGGGAATCCTCACTTCTGTCAGCGCACTGCAACTCCGGAAGGCACAATCGCCTATGGAAGTCACAGAGTCGGAAATGGTCAATTTCTTCAATGAACGGCAGTTCCGGAAGGCGAAAGCGCCAATGTTTGTTACAGAGTTCGGAACTGTTGCTTCAGCCATTTTCACTTCAGTGAGAGCCATGCAGTTCTGAAACGCACAGCGCCCAATCTCTGTCAGAGCACCAGGGACCGTCAACTCTGCCAATGAGCTACAGTGGTCAAAGGCACCATCTCCAATGCAAATCATTGAATCAGGCAAAGTCAACAACTCGAGCGAACTGCAGTTCATGAAGGCATTCCTTCCAATGTGTGTCACTGTGTTGGGAATATCTACTTTTACCAAGTTTCTGCAATCAGCAAAGGCATCATCCTGGATCCTAGCGACGGAGCTGGGGATCTTCACAAAGACCAGATCCATGAAACGATGTTGTCGCCTTTCAGTTTGAACCGGTTTGATGGCGCTGAAGAGGACCTGCACCTGCCAAGCTCTTGGGAGACAATGAAGAACCCTCGAGCCGCTTAAACACTGACATGGAGGTTGTGTACGTGCCTAGTTGTCAACAGACGTGAAAAAGCAACCACCGCAAACAGCAAGAAGCAAGAACATAAATAACAACAAGCACAATGAACAACAGAACAACAAAAAAACAACTTTGTTCTGAAGAGGTCTTGTGCATTCCTTAATCATTCCAACCTCTGCACCAGCTTCAAGATTCATGACTTTAAGCAGTTGCTCCTCATCATCATTGGTCAGCCGTGTCTGCCCGAAGACCACCTCCACTTGACACAATTTCCGGCGGAAAACATCAGGCTGCAAATCTCTCAGGAGCTGTTTGAACTGCTGGACGGTGATGTCCTCAAATGTTGAAGAACACTGACAAAGTTTCTGTTCCTTTTATGACTGCTGGCAGTTTGGTTTATATTTGGAGTGCCTAGTGACTAGTGACAAAGAAGGATCCACAACCGGCAACCAAATACACAATAGAGTTTGCAACACGACGATCTGGAAGAACATATCAACTGACTATGACTTTACTGACTTAGAACATAACAATTACCACGACTAATGATATGGCTTCGGATCCGGCAGCACTTCAACTTCATCTACCTTTCCATTGAGCTGCCTCACACGGATTTTCATGGGTTCCTTTGTGGCCATAATGCCCATGGCTGCTTGGTGGGAAAGAGGTGGCAAACGCCCAAATCCTTGGCCCTTGGCCTCAGAATGCTAACTGCATAAATATACAATCAGGATATTTCAAGCAATTACACTAAAAAAAGTTGAAGAGCTGTTAAACAGAAGAGGTGCGCCTAAACAAATACTAGTTACTAGTTGCCATCCTGCAGCGGCCTCGCGCATGGCTGCCATTTTTCAGCCCAAACATGAGCCGCGGAGTGAATAAACAAGCAGCCCAAAGTTAAGTTGACGTGGGGTTTAGTCTGCCAGCGGGGGTCGATTTCAGATGATTTCAGCTTCAGATGATTTCAGCATCCCCGCAACCGAGCTGCCATGGTCCTACAACGTTCTAGGGCATCCAGGGTAGCGTTTGCATAAACACTCGTCTTCAAACTTCGGATTTCATCGTGAAACAGCGCAATTTTGTCGGCAGAATTTGCACCCTCAAGGCTCAGTCACCGTCATTGGTCATAACTTCACTGGATGAGTTCTTCCAACTCAGACTGCACCGCCTATCTTCTCGGACTTGGACTTGGCGCCCTGCACGCGCCGGTGCGGCCGAGGGTACGGCGAAAAGGTGAAAAAATGACACGGCAAAGGATGCGTGGTGCTGTGCCGTGGTGCCTCCAAAAAAGCAAACCCTAGCATCCAACATGGACAAGAAACAGGAAAACCATCCAAAGGATGTGTTCAATACACATTGTTAATGGATTCCAGTTCAGGTAAGTCTTCCAGCTCCACGCTGAATTGGCGCCGTTGACTCAGGTCGCCTTGGCTGGCTTGGGCTTGGGCTTGGGCTGGGCCGACGCTGCTTCACCTGGGCGGCAGCATAAGTGGAGGTGGACGTGCGATGTTAAACAGACCCCCCTCATCTTGGAAGAAGGACAATGAACATCAAGGGTGTATCCCATTCCCTGAAACAGTGGATGATGATGGTTAGTAAAGGCCTTTCTCAAAAATAGTGATATAATCTTATTGACTGTTACAGGTCATGGGACACACACACAAGACAATGAACTAAACTATCAATCTAGATCTGCCTGACTGAGGTAGGAGTCACACTTTCGCAGGTCGTACTGTTGATATGATAAGACAAAATCCTGACCCGCTGGGTGTGCCATTTTCTTGCAGTCCTCCATTGAATGAGGGGCCACGGGGGTTGCTACATGACCCTTGTCGGGTGCACTGGTGGGGTGGCACATGATTTTTTTGGGGGAAGACTAGTCTACATTGTGCACATCTCCTGGAATAGTTTTGCTTTGGCAAGCTCTTGCGGCAAAATATGTTCATAACCGTAACGCCGTAGTTGCTAGCTGCTAGCTACTACGTATCATATATACACCATTCTCAGTACCATTGTCTCTAGCAGCTCGTGCATCGATCACGCCTGATTGGTTCTTCCCCAAGAGCTCGGTCATTGCCGCGGTCTCCACGGTCGTTGCCGTCTCCTTCACCGCCTGAGAAAGCCAAAATGCTGCAGAGTCGACCTGGGGCCTGAGAACCCCAGTAGTAAAAGGCATGGGTGAATTTATCCTTTTTTCGGACCAAACTGCTGTTTTGAATGTATTTGAATGTGTTTGACTGCTTTCAGCAGAAGCTATATAATTTGGAATCGACTTCAGATTCTGGGATCAGAAACAAAGAGCCGCATGCCGCATGCCTGATGCCTGTATCGTTGGTTGAACATGTTGGGACGGCTGTACCGCATCTGACTGACATATCAGGCAAATAGAAACAAGTGATCGGAATGGTGACTGTGATTTTCTCATAAGGAAGCCAGCACCAAAAATAAAAATAAACATGCAAAGTCCAGCCAACACCACAAAGATCTGCTGGCTGACGCAGCACTAGAAAGTAGAAAGATCCCTTTTGCCAAACTTATTGACATCTTGCACTCGGTCTCAAATCACCTCAAATCCAATGCCGAAGTTCACGCGACAACCAAAAACAAACACACCGATCCACCTCCTCCAGCTGCGGAGGCACTGCTTCTTGGCCTAAAGGCAGCGGTTACTAGGGGCAATGGAGGTGATGGCTGCACTTGCCAGCTAGGTTGGGTTCCAGAATCAGAAGTTGTGACCCCGACTTCGAGCTGATTTGCCCTCCAAGCAAGTCATCGGCCACATCAACGTCGTGGCAGCTGCCAATCTGGGCTCTGGACTGCTTAAGCGCCGCTTGGTGGCCTACCAAGTTGAGAGAGAGAGAGAGAGGCAAATAATAAGAAGCTAACATGAAGACCAATTCCAGCCGGTGAAAAAGCCAAAGCCCAAAGCAGGCGATAGATAGAAACCCAGCAGAAGCCCTCCGCAGCGCTCTCGCGCTCCCTCGTCGCCCCCAGGCCCCGGTGCCTTCGGCTTCTTTTCGCTGGCCGGGGCCGTGCTCTTCGCCCGCGGTGGAGGAGTCGTGAGATCTTCCACCTGGTCCCAGCACCAGGGAAGGTGTGCTCACCCGGCAAAAGATTGGGACAAAACAAGCGACTTATATACCAGGACCTTCCAAGAGGTGTCTGTAAATAGCCTCTTAGAGGTGTCTGGAGGTGTCCAAAAACCACCTGGTATGTCTCTACATTGTTTCTATATATGTTGTATCTCAGTCGAGCAAGTAGGAGAGAGTGGGCAGGGTTGGTGGACATTTGACGATGAATGTGCTGCCTGTATGCTTGAGCATAACCGAGGCAGCACGAAACTTGATTTGCCGACCTGGCCAACCTACAAGACCAAGGCAAAACTAAAACACGAGTTCCGAAGCCACAATTAGTGATAACAAACCCCAAGACCTAAGACTTGCATCAAATCCCTTTGCCACCCTTGAAGATTCGTATGGGGCAAAGTAGGCCTCTTGCTCCTTTGCAGAGTTCATGGGCTCCTTGCTGGCCTTGGCCGGCAGCTAGGCCCGCGCAATGCTCTCGCGGTAAGAGCTGGAAGAGAACATAAAGCAAAATCTCTCCGCCAACTGTGTTGGACAAATGCTAGAATTAGAATATACTTGTGTCAATCCAAGTGGAATCGAACTTGCACGATCATCCTGATGCCACTTCATGTGGACATCAGCCCCTACCACCGTCTTCCGCTACAAAAAGGATCCCCCTAACCAAGCCACACTTCTCTGCGGAGGCGAATCGCGAGGATCGTGAGGCTTCCTTTCGCCAGTTGCGAGGCGCGTCCGGAGAGCTTCCCCAGAAAGACCTGCTGGGCCTGGTTAAGTTATGATCAAGAAGGCACTGATTAGATCTTATCGTGAATGCCCTCACACACAAAAAAAAACAAAACTTAATTAAGAAACTTGAGGCCAAGGGGGGGGG